TTTTTTTTGTCTTTTTTCCGTGTCCGGCAACGGATCGCAACCCTCAGTGTTGCCCCCGTACCGGACCGGGGACCGGCAACGGGATCGCAAGCCTCGGTGTTGCTCCCGCGCCTCGCTCAGCCAGTGAGCGGGAACCGGTCTGTATATGGGATCCGAACCCTCGGACGGGAGCACCGCCGCGCTTCCCAAGCGGCGCACTATCCAGTGCGCCACCGGGCCGGCCCGAGAACAGACTCTTGATGTAAGGCAGGTGAGGGGCAGGAGCCAGGAGACCACTGAGGAAGCCCCCGTAGGGACACAAAGAAGAGATGAGGGTGGCCAGGACCAGCGTGGCATTAATGGGGGGAGGAGAAGTGATTAGATTCTGGGGGTTTTACACAGTCAACTGAATTTGCCATAGGACATGATGGAAGGTGTGAGAATGGACAAGAAGCTCAGGCAACACTGGGAAGCATCGGCCGATTCCTTTCTCCTCTCTGGCTCCCAGGAGCCATTCCAATGAGAAGAGCTTTGCAGCCGCTGAGCCAAGGACTGGGCACATAGTAGGTACACAACAAAGCCAATGACCCCCCTTTCTCCTTCCATGGCACTGCAGTACTCCCTGCTGAGGAGTTAATGCCTCACTCTGCCCCCTCTTCATAAAGCAGACTAAACCTGACCCTGGTCCCAGATCCCTCCTGAGCACCCCACCCACCCACAGGGCCACACCAGGTCAAACCTGCTTAGGATCTGACCTGGGATTTTAACACTCAGGGTCAGGTTCTGAGACAGAAACACATTTTATATCTAAAATCAAATCTCCCCACCTGGCAGATCTGAATGCTACTAATTCTAACAGTCATGGCCTCACCGGCTCTTTTGTACAGAGCACCTTCCTGTTCTGGTGGTCACTAATGTAAGCCAATGATTTCAACCGCAACAGCAGTGCTCGAGGGAGAGCTAGCTGGGCTCAAACATTCCACCTACACATGTCCCTGGTGCACAGTTGTAGGGTGTGGCAGAAATAGCGTGTTCCCCAAATGCAGGCATTTCTCACAGCCCAGACTCACCCAATTCAAAGTCAGAGAGCAGAGCTGGCTGGCTAGCTCAGGTGGTTAGAGTGCAGTGTTATAAACACCAAGGTCAAGGGTGCGGATCCCTGTACTAGCCAGCCACCAAAAAAAAAATCAGAAACCAAACACCCCAGTCCCACTGCCTCACTATGCAGAACTCGGAAAGCACATCAATTATGATGGGAGAAATACTTCTCTCCCATGTGTGCCCGTACATTCCCCCACTTCCTCTGTGGTTTGGCTGGTGGCATGTGACTCATTTTGGCCACTGGACTGTAAGTGGAATTGGCTTGCATCACTTCTGGTTTAAGATGCTGAAGAGCCGCTGTGAGTCACTCATTCTCCCTTCTCTTGCTGTGGGGACCTGGAAGCCAGCTCTTGAGAGGCAAAGTCTTGGTCACTGCCTGGAAGGCAGCTACCCTGGAGAGCTGCCTGACCTGCATCCAGAATCATATAAGAAATAAACCCTTGTGTTCATCTCCCAGGGTTTTGCAGCTAATTTGTTACTGCAGCATGCCCTCGTCTATCCCGACTAATACAAAGGAATTTTTCTAGGGTAACTTTGGCCACATGGGATTTCTGCCTTGCCTGTGTCTCAGAACCTGACTTGGGCCACATGTACTTCACACATCACTGCTCAGCTTCATAACATCCCCATGAGGTGGGTATGAATGATCAGCCTCGTTTGACAGGCAAAGCAACTGAGGCACAGAGGCTAAATGACTTGCTCAGGGTACCATGCCCAGCAAATGACAATAGCAGGACTCAAGCCCAGATTTGTGTGACCCTGAAGCCCAGGCTCTGTATGCCTTGCCAGGCTGCCTCCCCACTAAACACCACCTGATTCCTGACTCCTAAATTCCCCATCTTTTTTTTTTTTTTGTCTTTTTTCATGTCCGGCAACGGATCGCAACCCTCAGTGTCACGCCCGTACCGGACCGGGACCGGCAACGGGATCGCAGCCCTCGGTGCCGCGCCCGCACCTCGCTCAGCCAGTGAGCGGGAACCGGTCTGTATGTGGGATCCGAACCCTCGGCAGGAGCGCCACCGCGCTCCCAAGCAGCGCACTGTAGCAGTGCGCCACTGAGCCGGCCCTAAATTCCCCATTTCTGACAACAGCTCTTACTAGAGATGACATACAGCCAACCCTCGGTACTCATGGGAGATTGGTGCCAGGACCCCCAACAGATACCACAATCCACAGATGCTGAAGTCCCTAATGGGCACAGTATTTGCATGTAACCTATGCACATCCCATATACTTTAGATCATCTCTAGTACTTACAATACCTAATACAATGTAAGTGCTATGTAAATAGTTATTGTATTGTTTAGGGAACAATGACAAGAAAGTCTGTACATGTTCAGTACAGACACAGGCCTAATTACATTCTCGATCAGTGGTTGGTTGAACCCGTGGATACAGAGGGCCCACTATATTTGCCAAAGAGAAAGAGAATAGAACAGACAAGAGGATGTCACGTCTCTTCAGTGACGCCCCAAAGAAAACAGAATGGTCATTTAGAAAGAAATAAAATATATTTTTTTTGCTGAAATTATTTGCAAATGTTCACGTTTCCAGTGTAAGGCATTACAAAAAGATCTCCCAGAAAAACTTGGTTTATCCAACGCGAAAGGATGATATAACTTACAAAAAAATAAATATATATTTCCACCTAAAAGAAGAAAGATGCTTCTCTGGGTTTGGAGTCAGCAAGTCTGATCCTCAGGCAGCAGTGAGCTCCCGCTGCTTTCTGGGTCTCACTTCGGTCTCCAACTGAGACATCTCAAGGCCAGGCTTGGAAGTTCGCTGCTTCACCGTTTTCTTCCAGGAACACACAGAGCAACTGTCAAATGCAAGGCCAGCTTTTGGCTATTCCCTGGGAATGCTGCACCTTGGCCCTCCTAAGAAATCGAAGTCCCACAACTGTTTTTCTCCCCGGAGCAGTATTTAAAAAAAAAAAAAAAAATCACTGACATGCGTGAATGGGTTCTTTTCTTGTCCTGGAAGAGAATCGGTATCTATGTCAAGTTCTCTACCAAGCCACCCCTTGGCAGCTAACCAGATGTCAAGGGTGAGAAATTTAAACCTAAACACAAAGAGAAGACTCAAGGGAACTCTTTTTGGTACCAACTGGTGATACTCGGGAGGTACCTCATGCTCCCTACTCTGAATGCTTCATGACCATCAGCAGATGTGCACTGCTTTCAGGTAACAAGAGGAGAAACCTGCCCCGGCAATGGGCAAAAAGAGCCAGGAAAGAAAAGACAAGGGAAAGAGTGGAGTGGGTGGGAGGTGAGCAAAGTTGGCAATGAGAGATGGCCCCAGAATCTGGAGTCCCAGGTCCAGATCACCTGTCCGCCAAGTCCCTTTGATGAGGACAAGGGATGTGGGTGCACAGGGCTGCCTCTGGCCTCTGAAGCAAGTCCCAGTGGAGGCAGCGCTGGGGTGCTGGTTCCCAGCATCTGAGCACCTGGAAGACCAGATGTCGGTAGGAGGATTATCCAGGCCCCTGGAACACTGCCCACAGGTGGTGACAATGATTTTCTCCAGGCCCCTCAACCTCAAGACTGCAGCCTTGCGGACAGGAAGCATTCCGGGTAGAACCAGACAAGGATGTAAAAGATGACAGGAATGGCCTATGGAAAACGGGAGCTTTTCAAAGACTCAGCATCTGCAGACTTTGGAGAGATCTGACACAGTTGGCTGGATTTGGTCACTAGCATATTTGATGAAACCAATTCCTCCAGAAGTCTGACTACCAAAAATTCCTCTGTGGGAAGCACCGGGGGCACAAGTTTGTGTTCCCAGGGGTGCAAGAATGTGTGTCTTGCGGGGACCGGAGGCAAGGGTGTGCATGTTTTGGGTGGGGTGCATCTGTCTCTCTCCTGTTTCTTCACAGCCAATTCCAGGCAGGGGACTAGGTGGGTGGCTGCCACTACGTGTTTTGGTTTTGTGGGGGTTTGTCTTCGTTTTGGAGGGGTTTTTTGGTTTTCAGTATGGGAGGCTTGGTTCTCAAGGATGCTGGCATGTTGGCCTGCAGTTCTGACCAGCTGTGCCAGCTCCAGACTCACACTAAGCCCGCATCTTTGGCCATGCCGTAGAAGAGACCTCTTTGCTGTAGGAGGTCAGAGGGAGCACCGCACTCCCGGATTTCTCCTTTATCCAGGACGATCACCCTGTTGGGGGAGAGGACACAGACCTCGTGAGGGGTGGTAGGAAAGGGGTTGGCACCTCGTGTCCCCAGGATCCGACCCAGGCAAGTCATTGCTTTGAGTCAGGCCCCTAACATCTTCTGCCAGGACTGTTGCAGTAGCCTTCCAACTGCTTGCCCATCCTCAGTCTCTTTCTAGTAAATGTCAAATTCCCATGAAGCTACCTCCTTAACGTCTGCCCCCACATCCACAATGGTGAGCGTAGTAACACCGATGATGACAACAGTATCTACTGTTCACGTCCATTGTCCCATTACACTTGGAGTAAAATAAAAAGATCTTAATACAGTCTACATCAAGGGTCAGCAACCCTTCCCTGGAAAGGGCAGATAGTAAATATTTTCAGTTCTGAGGGCCATATGGTTTCTGTTACAACTACTCATCTCTGCTATATAGCGTGAAAGTAGCCAGAGAAAACAGGAAAATGAACAGACATGGCTATGTGCTAATAAAACTTTATTCATAAAAGCAGGCAGTGGGCCAGATTTGGCCTAGGGGCCATAGATTGCTGATCCCCAGTATACTGGTTCCTACAGGGTCCAACACCGCCTACTTCCGACCTCATTTCTGACCATTCTTCCCTTGGATCTCAAATGTTTCAACACAGCACCTGTCACATAGCAGGTGCTCAATGATCTTTTAAAATTGCCATGTCACTCTCCTGGTTAAAACCTTCCAATGGGGGCTGGCCAGTTAGCTCAGTTGGTTAGAGCATAACACCAAGGTCTAGGGTTTAATGCTTATACTGGCCAGCCACCAAAAAGCAAAACAACAACACACACACTCTTCAATGGCTTCACGGCGCGTTTAGAATAAGTTCCAAACTTCTTAACTGTGGTTACATGGTGCTAAGATTTAGCCCCTGCCAACCTTTCTGGCCTCGTCTAGTACCTTTGTCCCCTCAATTCCAACCTCCAGGCACACTGGCCCCTTGCTAGCCATTGAATTCAGTAAATTTCTTCCCATTTGAGGACCTTTACACTTGGCCATGCCCTCTGCCTAGAATATTCTTCCTTTAGATCAAAGTAGGCAAATTATGGCCCACTGACTGTTTTTTATAAGTTTCATTAGAACATAGCCACGTTCATTCATTTACATATTGTCTATGGCTACCCTGATGCTACAACATCAGAGTAGCTGTAATAGAGACTACATGGCCAGCAAAGCCAAAAATATTCTGGCCCCATACAGGAAAAGGTCCTGGATTCCTGTTCTGGATCTTCCCACAGCCGATTCCTTCTCATCATTCAGGTTTCAGCCCAAATGTCACCTCCTCAGAGAAGCCTTCCGTGACCATCTATGCTAAATTCAAAACCCTCAACACCCTGGTACCAGGTCCACACCATGACTTTCACGGGCCCTAGGCACTGATGCCTGTGGGGTTGCTTTCTCCATACGAGATATTAAAATCTTCTATTTTACAACTGTTGGTACAAAGAAAACCAGAATCTAGGCTGGAGTACATTCATTTTTTCCTTCTGATTTTTAAAAGAACATAAAACATTTCTGCAGGACCCAGGCATGGAGCCTCCAGTGTCCACTGTATACAGTGGCCCTGCCTGGTACTTACTATCCCATCTCCTCGTTCTATTTCCATCCCAGCACTTACCACCCCCTGAAATCACCTGGTTTATTTATTGCCTAGGACTCATCTTACACTGTCGCTGTCCTAGCCCTGGGATCAGCCATTTTTCTAAGGAGGCTGGTTTCTTTTAGTGAGGAATAATATTTAGAGATTTTAGGCTTTTTAAGCTGAGTGGTTCTAGACTACTTTTATATTACATGTTTCTGGTATTTTCTTCTACCATTTTAACTGATATTATTAAAGGACTTTATGCGTACTGATTTTATATAATATAGTTTAACATCATAACTACTCAAGAAGTGTCATTTTACTTAACAGTTATATCTTTTTTTTTTTTTTTCCTTTTTGTCTTTTTTCGTGACCGGCAACGGGATCGCAACCCTCGGTGTTGCACCCGCACCTCGCTCAGCCAGTGAGTGGCCGGTCTGTATGTGGGATCCGAACCCTCGGCGGGAGCGCCACCGTGCTCCCAAGCAGCGCACTGTAGCAGTGCGCCACCGGGCCGGCCCTTATTTTTCTTTTCAATGTCTGTCTCCTTCAATTCAGCTACATGGTCCCTGAGGCAGGCACCTTATCAACAGCACCCTGAGAACTCCTCGGTGCCTGCAACAGTTCTAGGAATACAGGAGATACTCCACGCACATATGCTGACTGGATGAGCCAGGGAAGCCAGAAATACCTGGTACTACCCAGGATCAAGAGAGGGTCCACCAACTAGGGCTGTCACCAAGCCCAAATACAGTGTTGAATGAATGAATCAGTCATTGGGGGGAACCTCTAAGGTCCAGGGGCCTTCTATGCCAGGGGCATCACCTTGTGTAGTCCATGATGGTGTTGAGCCGGTGCGCAATGGTGAGGACAGTACAGTCATCGAACTGAGTCCGGATGGTAGACTGAATGAGGTCGTCTGTTTCCAGGTCCACGGCCGCCGTGGCCTCATCCAACACGAGGATCTTGGTCTTCCGCAGCAGGGCCCGCGCCAGGCACACGAGCTGGCGCTGCCCAACACTTGATCAGGAGAAAAGGACCAGGAGACAGAGAGTCAAACCACCCCTGACCTTGAACCCAGGCCTGAGCCAGGAAAAGGAAAAAGAGACTTTGTGTTGCTTCGATCAAGAGAGCACGTCCACTCCCCACATCTGTGCCTGTGGCAGACATCACTAATCTATCGCAACGTATCTCCTGCTGAGCAAGAAGCAGGCTCAGAATCATCCTCAACATGGGGCTCAGAGGTCATATTCAGAATATGTGTCCAGTTCAGTGGGGGTGGTGTAGCGTATAGCAAAACAGCCCCATATCCACGCATCCCCATCCCACTGCCAGGCCCCTGCAGTTGACTCTGGACTCAGCCATTGCTTTGGTCAATGTGATGCTGGTGAACGTAAGGCCAGTGGAGGTTTGACATGGGACTGCACACTGGAGCTTGCTCACCCTTGTGCCTCTGCCATCACCATGAAATGCCCGGCCTGGTCTGCTGGAGGATGAGGGACACATGGAGCGTACCCTTATTGCCCCAGCTGAGCTGACCCCCAGACACACGAATGAGCCCAGCCAAGATCAGCAGAGCCACCCGATGACCACCCTAGTGTGAGAACAACTGATCACTGCTACACTGTAGAAGATAATGGAGGGTACAGGGTTGGTTGTCATGGCTCCAAATAACCAAACCAGGCACTGACTAATAACACCAGAGCAAAACCCTGGAAGTTCCCCACTGTTCCAGGCATTGACACTTCAGGTGGTGGATCATGGGAAGATCCCAGGGAGAAGGACCAAGGCCGTGGGCACAGTGGATAGGGACTTGGGGAGCTCAGAGCAGTCTGGCAGAGAAGCCTTCTAATGGTTTAACAACTGACAGCCACTCCCATTTAAATACAGCTGGTCTGAGAAAGGAAACCTATTGTCCATACCAGTTATTATACCTCAGGGTAAAAAGAGCCTGGATTGAAACCCACTATTTTACAGACATAGAAACTGAGGCTCCAGGAGGTAAAGGGACAAACACCTTGTCTGTGGCAGAGCCGGCACTCAAATCCAGGTCTGACACAGATGTGAGAGGGCAGAATCTTCAAACACCCCAACCAAGGAGGCACCTCGGAGACCGTGTCCAGTGTCACCCTGCCCACGCCCCACCCACCTCAGGTTCTCTCCGCCTTCCGCGCACTCATGGTTCAGCTTATCGGGAAGGCCTGACACGAAGTCCTTCAGGTGAGCCAGCTCCAGGGACATCCAGATCTCTTCGTCCGAGTACTGGCTGAACGGGTCCAGGTTCATGCGGAGGGAACCCGAAAACAAAACGGGGTCCTGTTCAGAGAGGAGAGAGACGGCATGTGAAGCTCATGTCACCTTGGACATGGGTGGAGCAATGAGGTGGGGCATAAACATCCTCGCCGGAATTGCTGAAGCCAGGGGTGCAGAGTTCCTCAGAATCACTCTTTCTGGAGATGTTAAGAATGAAAAAAATAAGTCTGAAAATCCTGGGTTAAACATAATAAAACGGATTTCTTTTTTTTTGTAGAACCTCCTAGAGCCTTTGATATGCGAACGGATTAGGAACCTTCGAGAAGGGAGACACAGCCTGGGTAGTTCCTAACAGTAAAGTAGTGTAGAGTCCTCCCTGTCCCCCAACTCCAAAAGAGAATCTTGAAAGAAACTTTGGGAAAAATTATACTAAAAGGCAACATATTAAGGAATCTCCACCTATAGGGATGGGTCTAGAAAATTCTTAATTTCTTGCCCAGTTCTTGAAAGGGTTAGAGATTCTCAGCCCGACTCCGCTAGCCAGCAGAGAGAGGTGGTGTCTTAGTGGACTGTGTTAGATGCTCAGGAAACTGCCTCTTGGGTGGCAGGAGTGAGGGACTGACACCCTCTTAATTCCCACATTGTTATTTTTATCTAAGAGGAGATTCAAGGGAGAAGCAGCAGCATAACTTCAATAATATTAACAATAATAATAAAGTAGGAACAAACTTACATTTGTCCTGAAAATACCCCTATCCCACTTTCAGTGCAGCTGTAGGACCTGCCAGCCCCCTCAGCCCCGGCCCTGCCCGGACCCACCTGGGGGATGATGGTGATCTTGAAGCGGAGGTTGTGCAGGCCAATCTTGGCAATGTTGACGTCGTCGATAATGATCTCTCCTTCGGCAGACTCATTGATCCGAAACAAGCCTAGGGTCAGGGATGACTTCCCGGCTCCCGTCCTCCCCACAATGCCAACCTGTGGGACACGGCAATGTTGACGTCGTCGATAATGATCTCTCCTTCGGCAGACTCATTGATCCGAAACAAGCCCAGGGTCAGGGATGACTTCCCGGCTCCCGTCCTCCCCACAATGCCAACCTGTGGGACACAAAGGGCCCAGAGTGAGGTGGGAAAGCTGGTATCCAGGGATGGCCCTCATTTCAGGTGTCTGCCCCAGAGCAGTTCAGTCATCTGGCCGACCCAACTCCCTCCACAGCCCTCTCTGTCACCTGCTTCCCAGAGACACTCCTTTAGGGGCTGTTTTGGCCAGAGGTCAAGAAGGACTCTCTTCTCTTTGCCAGGCTCCCCAAGGAATTAATAGCTCTTTGTATAAGTTACTAGAGATCTCCAACGAGACAGGCAACAGGCAGAAGGAATTTTCAATAAAGCTCTATTATTTTGAGCTCAAGAGGATATTAAGTCATCACCGTATTTCCCCATGTTGTCACATTGCTTTTCACTCCTCTGATGGTGAGTTCCCACCCTGAGCTGTTGGAATATCTCGAAGATTCGCAGATCCCCGGGCACGCCTTTTGATATGACCTGGTCTCTACTCATCCCCCTTGAGGGAACCAGGCTCCCTGGTTAATGGCCAATGACTGACGTTCCTGACCTCCAGTTATAACTGTCTCCCTCCCATCTGGGCTCCTGAGAGATGGGCTCTACCCTCTGACAGGGATGTCACAGAGCAGCAGGCATGCGAACATCCTCATGATATAACATAAGCCAAAAAGACTCCACAAGAACATCGCACCCCCATCCCCACCCCATTCTTCCCTTGTTGTAAGTTAGAGAAATTATCTTGTGGGAATGGAACATTCTGGGCCTTCTGGAAGGGACAATTTAACAAGTCTGAACATTGAGATGAAAGAAGCATTGTCCCCTGGCAAATGGCCAGGAAGACTCTTGGTCTGATTCCTGAGGAAGGTCAAAGGGTTTCAGGGCAAGGGCATCTTCCAGGAACAGCTTCTTATTCTAAAAGATCGCTAACTTGAACATTTTCAAGAGGCCAAGCAGACAGATGAACGAGGTGGGGAAGGACCAGGGTGAACAGGGAGGCTCACGTCTTGTCTACAGAGAGCCGGGCAGGGAGAGTGGGCCCAGTGTTGCTAGAGATTCTGACCTTTCATGAAAAGCAGAGAATGGATTTTTATGTAAAATGATCCAGATTTTTTAGTATTTGCAACTTATTCAGATTTTTTTCAAAACATGTCAGTGGGCCACACTTGGTCTTTGGGCTGCCAGTTTGCAACCCTGCTGGACACTCTCTGAACAGCATTTGCTTCCACAAGCCCCTCCAAAAAACCACTCAACCACACGGGATGGTGCTGTGACCAGCTGGGGGAATGACACTGCTGGATTCACCTGCCTGGTGGCAGCCTGGGCCTGACTGTGAATGGTGGGGGGAAAGAAGATGTGCACCCACCTTTTCTCCTCCATCGATGGTGATGTTGATGTGCTTGAGAACCAAGTCCAGGTCATCTCGGTAACGCAGGCTGTAGTCCCGGAATTCCACTCGGCCCACCTGGGGCCAGTTGCTGGGCGGAGCTGTCTCCTGGATTTGCCAGGGAGCCTTTGATCACAGCGGTGGGAGTGGGGGGAGAGGAGAGTAAGGAATCCGAATCCATCCCATGTACCACGGATCTACCTGTACTGGCCTCTGAGACCCCTCCAACCTCACCTCCCTCCCTCCCTCTGGTCGCCACACTGGCCTCCTGGCTGTTGCTTGAACACACCCACGTGCCTTGCTTCCAGGTCTTTGCATTTGCAGTTTTCTCTACTTGGAGTTTGGATCCATCTCTTGCCAAGAGATTGACTGATTGATTGATTTTTGGCAGCTGGCCGGTACAGGGATCTGAACCCTTAACCTTGGTGTTATAACACTTCACTCTAACCAACCTCTGCCTGAAATTCTCCTCCCCAAACTACCCACTCAGCCTGCTCACATCCTGCAGCCTGCAGATCAATTTGGATGGCCCTCCTACCCTGTGTCCTTCTAACACCTTCCCAACTTCATTCTCCTTCGAGAACTGGCTGCCTGCTTGCATTTAAGACTTATGTATCGGTTTATCCTATCGCCCACACCCACTGGACTGTCCACTCTGTGAGGACAGGTTCTTTAACTGTTCACTGCTGTGTCCCAGGGCTCAGTGCACACAGCAGGTGCTCAATAAATACTTCAGGACTGAATCAGTGCAATGAGTGGTCTTCTCTGGACAGACACAGAGTAAAGGTGAGCTACCCTGGCTGCCTTCGAGGTCTGGAGGGCAATGATAAAAGCAGCAGCAAGAACTGAGGCTCCCACGTGTCAGGCACCGTGCCAATGACTATCACTTGGCTCATGTAGTCCTCCCAGCGCTCCAGGAGGGGGGTCCTGTCATTACCCCCAGATTACACACGAAGAAACTGAGACACAAAGAGGGTAAGTAACTTGTCCAGGGTCACAAGGGAAGAAGATGAATCAAGGGGACAGCAAAAGAGAACTTTTACTGTTTTTCCTCCATAAACTTCTTTTATTATTATTTACAACAAGCATATCTCCATTTTATCATTTATGTATATAATAAAGGGGAGACTCTGTAAAAACAGAGGGGACTGGAGAGAATGCGGTTGAACTTTCTAACTACATATAATAAATACTGTTATTTTTACAACATTTTATACAAATCATTCAATTGAACTGCATGCTTTAAATGGGTGAATTGCACATGAATTACCTCACTAAAGTTGTTATTCTAAGTTGGGTGGGAAACTCCCCATGTAGTGCACCCATGTCTCCACAGGGGGGCACTCACACCTTCTGAACAATGCTCAACAATGACGAGACCTGGTCAGAATATTAAAGGACTGGGCATAAGTCATCGCCGTGAATCCCTCAGGACAGACCGCAACCAAGGCCTTGGTTTCATTTCCAATGGGCAACTTCTTGGGAGGGAGTACAACACAATGTCACAGTCTCAAATCCTGGGTGCACCATTTACCAGCCCATGTGACCTTGGCCAAGTAACTTAACCCCTGTCTCACTTTTCTCACCTGTAAAATGGAGATAATAATAGCCTCTACTAGTAAGGCTGGGTAAAAATCAAATGAATTATGCTAGACAAAATGTTTAGGACAAGGCCTGACACACCACAAGGACATGCTATGTGTCCCTGTTATTATTACTACTGGTGGTATCACCAGGCATTAGTGACTGTCATTACCACCTCTACTGCTGCTGTTGGTGGTGGTGTTCCAGGCATAATGAGGCAGTTATTAGGGGCAACGTGGCACTGAAGTCTGGAGACTTGGGTCCTAGTCCCAGCTATTCTACTGAGCCACATGTGACCTTGGGGTCAGCCATCGTCCCTCCCTACGATCCCTTTTTCTCCATCTATAAAATGGAGACTTGGGTTAAATAACTGCAAATTTTCCTAAACTTTGGTTAATTCTTTACATCATGATTTCTGCAATATCCACGTACTAATTCACTTATTTTAACGTTTAACCAACTCATTTGTACTTTATTTTCCAACTTCTTTAAGAGGAAAATTTATATAAAATCACAAATTATTTTCCATAACAGAAGACTTGGGTCCTAGTCCCAGCTATTCTACTGAGCCACATGTGACCTTGGGGTCAGCCATCGTCCCTCCCTACGATCCCTTTTTCTCCATCTATAAAATGGAGACTTGGGTTAAATAACTGCAAATTTTCCTAAACTTTGGTTAATTCTTTACATCATGATTTCTGCAATATCCACGTACTAATTCACTTATTTTAACGTTTAACCAACTCATTTGTACTTTATTTTCCAACTTCTTTAAGAGGAAAATTTATATAAAATCACAAATTATTTTCCATAACAGAAGCTTTCCATAAAAACAAATAACAGATTTAAAAAAAATTTTTTTTTTTTTTTTTTTTTTAACACAGAGCCTGTTGAAGGCTGCTGTCTGTTGAAGGGAGATCATCTCAACTAGTAAGGTGTTAAAGACCTATTAGCACCAAACTAAGACTTTCTCTGTGATCTCATCAAAAGGCATAAAAGAGAAATAAAAGGGAAGAACTGCCAACTATTTTCTTGCCCCAAAACCAGGTAGTTCTAAGTAGGTACAGCAGCAAAGAGGCTGGACAAGCGTAAGATGGACTCTACCTGGTGGGATATCCAACTTACCCTCCCGCTCAGAGGCAGAAGATATACAAGACATGGCTCAGAGGTCAGGCAGGGGCCCTTGCTTTACCTCCTTCTCTGTTTCCGAATACTCCTTGAGTCTTTCTACGGCCACAACGTTGGTCTCCAACTCCGACGACATCCGAACCAGCCAGTTCAAGTATGTGGTGACCTGCAGATGAAAGAGTCATGTGGAGTTTCTAGGGGGATCACCCATTATTTTATTTTCATGATGTAATTCTGAATTATGAAATCTTTCAGATAAGAAAGATACAGAATTTACCAACCCCACATACAGTCATCACTCAGACCTGCCACACTGCTTCTCTCAAGCACATTTTCCAAATAACCCATGGGCCACACAAATAATCAGAAAGGAAATGAGAAAAGATTTTAAACTGGATAATACAAAAACACAATGTATCAAAATTCATGAGATACATCTAAAGCAAGTGTTTAGAGGCAAATTTATAGTCTTAAAAGTATTTCCCTTGTAGCAGGAGCATGTTCTTGGGCCACCAAGGAGTCTCCTTGACTGACAGTGAATGCTGGCCACCTGTCAAACTCCTCTCCTGCTCCAGCCAGGCATCTGTCCCTGCTCCACAAGCTCCACTCGGCTCTCTTCCCCTCCCCCACTCCCACAGGAATCCAAAGCAAAGGCCTGGGATGTGACAACCAGCTCCCCCATTAGGAGACTTTAACAAGCCAGCCAAGAGCATCCCCACTTACCTGCAGGGAGTAAGACACCGAGAGGCCCACCAAGCCCGCGCTAAGGTTGTGCCGGGAGATCACCGCAAACAGAGCAGCAAACAAGACGATGCAGTTGCCGACGTACTCCAGCCGCACAGCCAGCCACCTGCACCAAAACACACGGGAGGGCAGACAGACAGACACATGCAGAGTCAGTTTCTCAAAGACCTGGTTTCCAGTTCAAGGGGGCAGGGGGGACCCTTTTTCTAATTGCAATAACTCCCTAGTAGTTCCAGAGAGACACCTGCTCGGCACTGTTCGTTTAAAACACAGGGGTAAGGTGGGCCAAGGGACACAATGTCAGTAACTCTTCATGAATCCAGCAAGCCCAGGGACAAAGACAGAGTTCTCTAGAAGCGAGCTGCCCAGGAATCTGAAGTTTTGTTTTTTTTTTTTTTTTTGTCTTTTGTCTTTTTTTCCGTGTCCGGCAACGGATCGCAACCCTCAGTGTTGCCCTCGTACCGGACCGGGGACCGGCAACGGGATCGCAAGCCTCGGCGTTGCTCCCGCGCCTCGCTCAGCCAGTGAGCGGGAGCCAGTCTGTATGTGGGATCCGAACCCTCGGACGGGAGCGCCGCCGCGCTTCCCAAGCGGCGCACTATCCAGTGCGCCACCGGGCCGGCCCATGAAGCTTGCCTTTTTAAGAACCAACTTTTTCTCACTCAAGCCTTTAAAACAGACACACATACGCATTTTTAAAAAAGATGTCCTGGAAATCCTTAAGAACTAAGAAGTCATCAACTGTAAGGGCACTGCTGTTTTAAAATAAGTCTCTTATTGGCGAGCTGGCCAGTTAGCTCAGTTCGTTAGAGCATAGTGTTATAACACCAAGGTCAAGGGTTCAGATCCCCATACCGGCCAGCCACCAAAATAAATAAATAAATAAATAAATAAAACCAAATAAGTCTCTTGGCAAGAGATGGATCCAAAGGACACATGAAAACCATCATTTTTAATGTCCCTGTAACATTCCTGGGCCAGGACTCATCCTAATTTCAGAAAGGTTAAAATGTATTACTTTACCTTTTAAAATATAAACAGATCTTTTATTTGTTTGAAGCTAACTTTTCTAAGATATCATGCAGCACTAGGAATATTATTGTAGTGTTTTGAAATATAAGCCATTCTAGGGGGATGGTACTGTCGAGCTTTTGCCACTACAGCCCTAATGTCCATGTGACTGATCTCCATGTCGTGTGAAATACTCCACAGACAGAGCTGGATTTTAACAAACTCCCTAAAAATTCTGCAAGGGATGTCAAGGTCCCAGTAACCCACGGTCTCCCCACTCAGCCTTACACTGGGGGATTATTCTGTGTATGATGATTATGGGTCACTTCCAGGGAGGACACTGTTACCTGCCTCCCCTGTATCCCACTTTTCAAGAAAGTCTATCAGGATGCAATGGGTAAGAAGGATGTTATTTTAGGGATAAAGCAGATACTTCTCTAAATTCAGCAAATAATTAGCGAACTTCTGCACCTTTCTTTGATTGATGCTATTCATTTCAGATCCACAAAATAGCGATTTGGTGGTTCAGCTTCTGACGCACCTTACACGGGTGTGCATGATCTCCTCTCAGTCAAGAACTGTGGAACATAAATACTCAGTAGCACCTTCTGCCTGTCACTAATGATCTTGTGTCACCAGGACCACAGTTAAAGGACAGTGCTTGCAGGGTTTGCTGACTCTAGAAGAACTCTGTCCCTGCACTTACATGCTCCCAGAGTGCCGCATGCTTCCGGTGTTCCTGTCTGCTTTTGATGGTTAGTCTGTCCCCTCCTCTCACCAAGTCTGTCCACTCTTTCTGCAAGGGCCTGAGTTTGGCTAGACACCCTCCTCCAGGAAGAAGACACATAGAGGAAATCGAGGCAAAGGGACAAGGCACTACGAAGGCTTCCTCGCCCCCTCCCGCAGCCTGGCATGCCCACCTGTTGGCCACGATGCTGGGGTAATAGGCCTTCTGGTTCTCATCCACTTTCAGGTCACTCTCGTGGATGAAACGCTCCTGCTCTTCAAAGGCACGGATGACGCTGACCCCCAGTAAGGTCTCGTTGAAGTGGGAGTAAACCGGGGAGCGGCTGACCGACTCAAGGCGCTTCAGCTGCCGGGAGGAGGCCACATAGAACCTCTGGGGTGGGAGGAGAGAATAGATGTGGGAGGGAGAGTTGGTGAAGGTCCCCTCATGCCATTCTCCCGGGGCTGTGCTGGAGAAAAGTCTGGACGTAACCTGTACCTCCAAGCAGGCAAAATGTTGGGGCTGGGCTGCTCTTAACAGGTGTTCCCGCCCACATGGAGAACTGCAGACACAGTGCCACCACCACCAATGACAGCGGCGATAACAGTAATAACAGCTAGCACTTACTAGCCTGCTGTCCCAGGCACTGTTCAAGTACTGTTCAAGTCAAAACGTACATCAGCTGATTCAGTCCTCACAAAAACCTACATGGTGCTCATTCCTCTTTTATGATGGATAAACTCAGGCACCAAGAGGCTGGTTAGCCCCCTCCCCAAGGTCGCATGGCTAGGAAGTGCAGAGCTGGGATTCAAACCCTGCTAGTCTGGCTGCAAGTGCTAACTGCTATACTGTCCTGCCTCTCTGAAGCCCTTAACCTCCAGCGTTTTCTGGACCCAACAGTGTGGTTTTAGGCACAGGTTTTGAGGTCAACCAGGCCTCAGTTCAAATCCCGACTACTACTGATTAACAATATAAACACTGCCATGTTACTTTATTTCGCTGAGCCTCAGCTTCCTCATCTGTAAAATGGGAACAACAAGGCTTGCTTCACAGGATCGTTGGGAGGATGACATGTAAGAATCACACACTCTTACATGTAACATATCACATTTTTGCACACAAACACACATCTCATCTATCATATATACATACAGAATGTCACTAAGCACAGTGCGTGGCAATATTAGGTTGAACCAGAAGACATGGCTGTTTGTGTAGGTAGCAAATGAATGAATATCAGCAATTTCACATGGTTCGACCTAAGGGTAAGTACTCAATTAGATGGTGGCTATTGCTATCATTAAGTGAGAGAATTCTGACCATTTATCACACCCCTCGGCAGTGACTGTACCCACACAATGGCCAGTGCCAGCACACTCACCCAAGCTGACATACCCATGAGGATAAAGTGGCCTCCTGCTGCTCTCAGGGGTCACAGTTCTTAGGGGCCAACCACACCCGCTAGCATGACTCATCCTGCGTTCACCACCATCCCTGTCTGGCCCAGGCTGTTCCTCATCACCCTGCAGATGTTAGCGCAAATGTCACTTTCTGGGGGGAGGGGGGCCTCCTGTCCCCTGGGAGCCATCTCCTGGGTAATGATGACACTACATTGAGAGGGCAAAGACCACATTTGCTATGCTCCTGTCCTAACCTGGCATTCAGCCAGTGCCAGGCACAGAGCCTTACTGGAGATGGAAAAAGGGCCTGTTACCCTCTGGAAGATCCGAGGAGCCAGGTAAGACACTGGACTGGTGGTTTGAGGACACTTGTGCCCTCTTGGCCTCGGTTTCCTCATCTATCCAAATGTAACTATTGAGACCAGGGTTCCCTGTTCCAAAGGTGCTAATGTGATAACTTACATGCAACTGCTTTATCAATAGCAGAGCCGGACAGGTACACAAAGGGTTGTGAGGGACATGGCCTTCCTGCCTCCTGCCCCAGCTGGGTGCCCTGGGCCACTTCAGGCAGTCCTTCCCTGGGGGCCACCGAATACAATGGTGGCATTTATGAGGCCTCTGTGACCAGCAGCTTCTTTCTAGGTGGTCACAGGGATGGTAATTTGAAGCTGTGGGGGCAGCCCCTTGGGGGCCCAGGACCTCTGTAAGCTAACCTAGGGACCATGCAAACCCAGGCCTCGGGAGGGTCTCCGGACAGCTGTCCTGCCAATTCCCGGAACATGGATCAGATGTCTTTGCTCCTCCAGCAGTTCCCACTGAAATCCAGACCTCTGGCCCTGCATGATCTGTCCCCACCTCACCCTCGAACCCCCCCTTCTCTAAACCAGTTTCCTTCTCAATTCAGATGCAAATAGTTCCAAAGTGTTTTACATGCTCAATTACTCCATGTATCACTTCCCCAACTCTTATTTGCTAGAAAAATCCAACCCGAGATGAATTTTTGTTCAGAAATGATCTGATGTTCTAAAAATTATTCGCTTCTCTTTTTCTCTCTAGTCCAGCAGCACAAACTACCTCCTGGACTTGGCTTACTCTTCCAGAGAGCGAGGCGGTGTCTGACGCTCCTGATTAAACAGCCGCTGGACAAGCACCTGCCTTGTGCCAGGTAATAGGCTGACAGCTCAGGCACTAAGACACGTGGCCAAGAGGTTTTCACAGATGTCAAAGCCCATAAAGCAGAAAGGCCATATTCCAGTAACATGGAAACTCCAACAGGATCCTGCATCATCATCTTATCTCTTACATGACCTTTTTTTAAAAAGAACTTACTTTTAAAATTAAGACAGTAATGTATATCGATCAAAAAAATTTTGGAATATATAGATGGGAAGATTAAATAAAAATGACAAATCCATTATCCTGAGAGAAGCGCTATTCCAATTTCAGCACATCACTTTTAGATTTTTTTTTTTTACCAAAAAAGCGCATCAGTGTGCATGTATGCATGCCTATATATACATATACCTAAAAGCTGCTTTTTGTGATATACATACACTGTAAATTACGCTAAATCTTTAGTGTATGCAGCTTGATGAATTTTTACATTTATCTACACCTGTATAACCACAACCTCATTAAAATATAGAACATTTCCAGCACCTGAGAAAATTCCCTTGTATCTCTTCAGTCAGTAATCTTTGTCCCCCAAGGAATAGCTACTGTTGTGACTTCTATCACCATAGGTTCATTTTACATGTTCTTAAACTTCATAGAAATGACATCTCACAGTATGTATTCTTTCGTGTCTGGCTTCTTTTGATCATAATCACATCTGTGAGACTCATCCATGCTCTTGTGTGTATTAATAGTTCATTGCTTTTTATTACTGAATCATTTCCACTGTACGAGGGTACTTTAAAAAGTTCTTGGGAAAATAGAAGATACTATGAATTTTCCCACGAACTTTTTGAAGTACCCTTGTATAACTACACTACAATGTCATTCTCCTGCTAATGGACAACTGAGTGGTTTCTAGTTTTGGGTGACTATAAATCAAGATGCTAAGTGCATTCTAGCATTGCTTGTTTTCTCTCATTGCTTTTGCACATATACTTAGGAGTGAGACTGCTGATTTATAGGGTAGGTATATATTTAGCTAAAAGCCATTTAAAAAAAAAAAAAAAAAACCATAACCCCAACCCTTAGAAAGGCAATGTTTTCATTTTTGCCTCCCTTTCCTGCCCTGCCCACACACATCATGCATTTCTTTTTAGTTATAACGACAGTGTGCATAAAACTTGATCCTTTGCTAAATTCACTTCCTTTGTTGTTTAAAAATAAAATAACTGGTGTTGCAACAACGGTGTTTTCCTAACTGTCCCTGTTAAGAGCTACACAAACGTTCCATCATGGAATAGCTCCATGGTGTACCCAAGATCCTGCTATTGGCAGATACCTGAGCTGCCTCAAAAACTGCATTTGGCCAGTTTTGCTCTCTTAGATTGGGTCCTACAGGAAAATCTGTAGTCAGGGTATGAACACAGATCACATTTTTGGTAAATGCCGTTGGATGATTCTCCAAAAAAAAAAAGTTTGCACCAATTTCAGCAGGATACAATGAGGCCCCAAGAACTGGACCTATACTCTCTGATTCCATCTTTGTTCAAGTTCACTAATCACGGGGCCACAGCATGGTGGGCTCTGGGGGCTGGCTGACTGGACCAGAGCCTCCTGGACCCCACCAGAAGAGCCGCAACAGTGTGGTCTGAGGTCTGGTGCACTTCGTGGTTTCTTACTTTTATTTAGCATTGCAGTCGGAACACTCCCATCTAAACAACCAATTACTACTAGTAATTATGCTTCAGTTAATTCTTCAAAAAAGGCTCGAGCTTTGGAATCAAACAGACTTGGGTTCACACTCTCAGCTCTGCCACTTGGGCAAGATGCTTCCCTTCTCTGAGCCTCAAGTACTCATCTGTCAAACGGAAACACTGTATCTATATATCTATATCACAATTACCTAAGAAACTGCATGTGTTCAAAGAACATATGATAACAGTTTCTACAGAAGGGATGTGGTAGAGACTACAATTGCCTAACCAATATCCCCTTAAGAAACTTCTGGTTGGGAACTGCAACCTGCCCAACTAAAAACTATACTTCCCAGCCTCCCTTGCAAATAAAAGAGGTCACATGACTAAGTTCTAGACAATAGATGTTCTCGATCTTGTTTTCTGAAATGCAGATGTGATGGCTGGTGCTCTAGCAGCTATATCGGACCATGAGACCAACTTAAAAATGGAAGGCCTGGGGCTGGCCCGGTGGCGCACTGCGCTAGTGCGCTGCTTGGGAAGCGCGGAGGCGCTCCCGCTGAGGGTTCGGATCCCACATACAGACCGGTTCCCGCTCACTGGCTGAGCGAGGCGCGGGGGCAACACCGAGGGTTGCGATCCCGTTGCCGGTCCCGGTCCGGTACGGGGGCGACACTGAGGGTTGCAATCCGTTGCCGGACAAAAAAAAAAAAAAAAAAAAAAAAAAAAAAGGAAGGCTTGTGCAAAGATAGTAAAACAAAACAAAACAAAAAAAGAAGGAATCTGGGATATTAAAGTCATTGAGTTACCATACCAGCTCTGAATGCCTACATCTAAATTTACACTATAAGAAAACAAACAAACAAACAAACAAAACACATCCGTTTAAGTTCCTATTATTTACATTTCCATTATCTACAGGAGGCTTAGGAACTAAAGAATTTATACTCAAAAAAATTTCAATAACAAATAGTCTTTATAGCTATAGGTTTTGTTTCCTTTTCTAATTTACAGCTAGAAATAAATAAAAACAAAATAAAACTTATTAGAAAAAAGTACATTTTGTTACTGCAAGCTAAAAACAATCAATTTAGGTATTTAAAATGGACAAAAACAAATCTAAACCTCCTCAAATCCTCAACAGCTCCACACTGGGGAAATGATGAGATGAAATGAGCTCTTAGGTGACAACGGAGCACAAGACGTAGCAGGGCTCATCCCGGACACCAGGACCCCACCTCTCACCTGGACGAAGAAGTAGATGAGGCCCAGGGGCGGGATGATGACCGCGGCAATGGGCGTGGCCAGCAGGATGATGATGCAGGCACCAATGACGTTGAACAGGGAGCCCATGAACATCTTGATGACCTGTGGGATCATTGAGTCCACCGTGTCCAGCTCCTTGGAGAAGCGGTTCACCAGGTTCCCGCTGGGGGTCCGCTCAAAGAAGCTCATGGGTGACCGCAAGACACTGTGCAGCAGGTCCAGGTGCAGACGGCGGGAAGCGAAGATTCCCCCGATGGACACGGCCATAGAGTAGCCAAACACGGTGACACCTACAAACACTCTGGAGTTAAACTCCACAGTGGGGAGAGGGGCCCAGGGGGGTCGGGCGCTACAGGGAGGAGTGGCCATGTGGACAGGCAGGCCTGGACTCCCAACTTCTAATAACAATGGTGTTATTATTTATTAACCACTTACCATTTGCTAAGCAGTATGCTAGGGTTTTATATGCATCTAGTTTTCATGACGACCCTGAATAAGTTCTAATCACTACCTATTTTACAGATGAGAAAACTGAAGCCCAGAGAGGTGAATTCCTTTGCCTACAATATACGCAGCTCATCAGAAGCAGAGCTGGGGTTCTAATCCAGGCAGCCTGCTCCAGAGTCAAGCTCGTCGTCCACATGCTATACTCCTCTAGGCCAGCGCTATCCCACAGAACTTTCTACAATGATGGAAATGGTCTTTATCTGTGCGATACTGGAGCCACTAGCCACTACTGGCTATTGAGCGCTTGAAATGGGGCCAGTCTAACTGAATAACTGATTGTTAAATTTTATTTAATTTTAATGAATTGAAATTCAATAGCCACCTGTGGACAGCACAGCTCTAGAACAGACATTGCTGCTGTGTGAGGCCAGGTAAGCACCACGCCCTCTTTGTTCTCTACCTTCCCTCAATTATATTCTGGAGGCCACAGTCATTTGTCCCATTGGCAGGGGGAGGAGAGGTTAGAAATTGAGAAACTCAAGAAATACATGTCTGCTCTTCTGACGGTTTTTTTCAAGGCCATCTCCTCGAGATCAAGACACAGTTATGGCTCCTCTGAACAACCCACAGTAGGGCACTGTTCTTTCCAGAGTGGCAAAATTTCATAGGGATGGAGAGGCTTTTATCTTGGTTTCTTTGATCAGGAAGAAACCTAAAAGGCGGGGGCTAAAACAACAGGCTCTGGAGCCAACACTGCCAAATCCTGTCTCCGCCACTTACCAGCTGTGGGACCTTCCACAAGGTCCGACCTCTCTGCACCTCAGTTTCTTCATCTGTAAAATGGGGACTATGCTACTTACCTTGGAGCACTGACAAATATAAATTCCCTATCTGGCAATGTGCCAGGCATACAGGAAGTGCTTGAACATGTCAGGCATTTATACTTATTGTATACACATATAAATCAGATGTTGAATATATGTGTGTATGTATATACAGTTTTTATGAGCACACAAACACACAGCTCATACTACACAGCACAGCAGTTAATAGCCAGGGCTCCTGTGTGAGATTGCTTCATTCAATTCCAGCTCCTCCATGTATTTGCTGTGTGACTTTGGGCAACCTACTTAACCTCTCTGTGCTTCCATTTCCGCATCTCTAAAACAGGGAAAATATTAGCTCCTGCCTCATGGGATTGCTGCAAGGATAAAATAAGTAAAACCACGTAAAAGTGTTTAGAACAGAGCCAGGCACCCAGTACACACTATAAACATCAGCTGTTATTATTAATGCTATTGTATTTGGGGACCTCCATGGGACCACAAAGAAGGGTATATAGCAGGGTTTCTCAATGTTGTTACTACTGACAAGAGGTGGGATAATTCTATGGAGCTGGATAATTCTCTTTTTTGGGGGGGTCGCGTGGAGCTGTTCTGTGTATTGTGGGATGTTTAGGAACATCCCTGGCCTCCAATAAAGTTGTGACAATCAAAAGTATTTCCAGATACTATCGAATGTCTCCTGGGGGGGAGGGGGGAGGCAACACTGTCCATAGTTGAGAACCACTAGTATTAACTAATTTCCACCCTCACAGAGCAGGTCCACAAATGAGACTTCACAGAAGCCCCTTCACCCTGACAGAGCAACAAGGGACACAGGGGTCCTCCCAACTCACAATGCTCCCAGTCGCCTCTGTTCTCAGCTTTTCTCGTCTATAAAATAGGCACACTGGCACTCTCCTCCCTTCTATCTCCTAGAGCCGTATGAAACAAAGCATTCAAGAAACACTCATCCTGCAAATATCAGCGTCTACCAGGTGATAGGTACTGTTCTTCTGGGTTTGACTTGGTTTGCGGATTCACAAAACCCTGAAAACTTGGGGGCCCAATTCTATAATCACAGGTGCCAAAATCAGGTGGGGTGGGAGGTGGTGGCACGCACCTTGCGAAATGCCCAGGGCCCCATAGACGCTCAGCCGGACTTTAGTGTGCTCCTGGGTCCCATTGACAATGGGGTCATCAGTCCAGAGACTGAGCCAATAGTTAGAAGCCAGGGAGGCCACGTTGTTACACAAGAAAAGGAAGATGCTCAGAAAGGAGATGAAAAGTCCAATTGCCTTCATGTAGTTCCAGTACACGGAGAGCTTGACCTGGAGACCAAGGGAGAGAAAACATCTCGTAAAACACACCCCGCCCCAGCCACACAAGGTCAGGGAGCTCCACAGCACCCACACAGTCCAGCCCGCCTACCTTTGCTCACACCAGTAACATCCTTCGCATTAGTTATTCCACAAAGAAAGCCAGCAGCAAACAAAGCCAAAGTCTCTGCCTTCATGGAGCTTCCAGATGCGCCTCGAGAGAGGCCTTCATCAAATCATCATCCAGACAAATACACAATTACAGAGAAGGACCGTAAATGGTACCTAATCCTATGAGAGTATAAAACTGGGCATGCTGACCTAACCCAGGGTGGAGAGGTATCAGAGGTGGCTTTCCCTGAAGAAATGACATTAAAGAGTTTAACCAGCTGAAAACGGAAAAAAGGCACTCCAGGTGGAAGAGCCAGCATGTGTAAAGGCCCTGGGGTAGGAGGGAACGCAGCACGTTTGGTGAAATCAAAGGAAGTGGGTGGGGGGAGTGAGGGAACACGGGGCAGCAAGGAACAGGACAAGGCGGGAGAAGCAGGTAGCGGCCAGACCACATGGGGCCCGGGAGATCCTGCTCATAATTCCCACCATTACTCCAGGACTGACAGCAAGCCATCAATGAGTGTTTTTGTTTTCTTCTTCTTCCAAGCTCAAAGAATGAGTATCAATGAGTTTTAAGCAAATGGGAGGATGTGACCTGTTGCCTAGCAACTAAGACCAAGGTCACCTCCAACCCCACAACTGTCCCTCACTTCCACCATTCCATGTGCTCTGAAAGCAGAAGCTTCCCACGGCTTGGTGCTTGCCCAGCTCCACGAGGCGAAGCAGGGGGAGGGTTCTTTCATTCCTATATTCCCTGAGGAGCCCAACATGGGGCCAAACAAATACCTGTGGCCTCCTGATGCCAGAGACAGGAGACCCGCTTTAGGCCAGCACCCCGCCCAATCTGCCTGGCTTAGTTTCAACAAACTCCAGGTATCTGTCCCTATGTGTGTGTTCATTGTCATTTCAAGTTTTCATGCTGAATTCTGGCTCAAGAAAATCATCTGACTCTACAATCTAGCAGAAAGATGAAAGATCATGTGATTGCTTCCTTTTGATTTTTTCCAAGTCTCTGATCTTGAAATTGAAATAGGGTATGGGGGTAGGGGGGTGTCAGAATTAAGAACATGTTTATTTCACCATTTGGCCCCACCATGTAGCCGAGCTCGAGCTGCCTGAGGTCCCTGGAATCAGCCTGCAGGGCCGGGGGACCTGTTCCTCATGAGCACTGAATGTGGTAGGCACAGGGGTCAAAAATGACTGGGTGTGTTGAGCCCAGCTCCACTCTTGGTGTGACTTTGGCAAGTTATAAGCAACAAGCCTCAGTGTTCCTCACATATAAAATCGGGATCATACTGGGACCCATGTCCTCTGGTTGATATGGAGATTAAATGAGAATTAAGTGGTCCTGGCATCTCTGGCTCCTCCTGCCCAAGTCCTTGACTCGGGGTCATCTCTCTGGCACCCTGGAGGGTCAGTAAGAGCAGAGGGAGAGGAGACACTACATCTGCACCTCTGCCACCATCCACGGCCCCAGGTGTGATGCCAGGGAGGGAAGAAGCCGGGAACAGAGAGTCCTGAGAGGCTCTTGATATGTCTGGGCAGATCTTAGAGAAAGTGCCCCAACCTCCCCTATTGGGGTACCAATAAGATTTCTTTTATCTGTGTACTTATTTTTTACTTATTTTAAAACCTCCATTCTTCTTTTCTTTAACATAACCATATATATTTTTAAAAACAAACTTTGGATCATTACCATAAATGGAAAATTACTGGCACTTACCCCAAAATAGATGATCTTTAAAAAAACAAACAAACAAAAACACCAAGAGCTTGAAACCTGCTCTCCTCATTATGGAGAGAGGCTGGCTATTCTTAGGTTTTACAGGCTAGCATCCAACTGAGACTTTCTCACTAATGTAATCATAAGGACTAAAAGAGAAGTGAGAAAACATTTCTCTATACCATTTAATGTTCTTTAGTGCTGCCTCTGTGCACAACTTGAAACCATGTCATGCACAACTTAAGCCCAGGCTGTGGGAAGCCCTGATTTAAAGCATCCAGGTCACCTACAGCTAGTGAGAGGCCCTGAGTTGCTCAAAAGCAAGGTGGCAGTCAGTACAGCAGAGACTACAAGTGCCAACCTTGGAGTACAACTGCCAGGGTTTAAATCCCAGCTCTGCCACTCACGAGCTGCAACCCCAGGTAAATCATGGAGCCTCTCTGGCCTTAGTTTCTGGTACTGTAAATAGTACTTTACAGGCTGGTTCTGAGATGCATGAGTTAATATATACAAAGCTCTCTGCACAGCGCCCAGCACACAGTGAGTGCTCTGTAAACTCCGGCCATCATCATTTAGAGAGCCAGACCTCACCTGTCCTGTCTGAGCCTTGTCTGCTTCCATCAGCTTCCAGGTCTCCTCCTTGGCCCCAGCTTTCTGCAGCTCGGCGGTGCTATTGTGGTGCCTGCTAACATCCTCGCTGTAGGAGGAGGAGCTGCTGAGCTGTCTGGGAAAGAAGAGCATGGGGGTGTCAACAAAATGAAAGCCTTGGGCAGGGTTGGCAGGCCCCACAGCTGGAGCTGCTCATGTGGGTCTGAGCCGTGGCTATAATCAAGGTGGTGTTCCCACGTGCATACACACCCCGTGTTGTCCCTCAGGGTTACACGTCCCCAGTGTTACAAGTCCCCAGGGTTACATTCCCCAGGGCTACAAGTCCCCAGGCAGGGATGAGGGCTGTGGGCAAAACAATCTATGACAATCTGTGATGGTCTGAATAAAGCTGGTGGCCACCAACAGGCAAAAAATGCTCTCTGAATAACGTCTGCATAAAGCAAAAGGTCTCCCGTGGGGGACCTGGGGCAAGATACCCCCATCTCTGGCCACATCTGTAAAATCAGAAGATTAAACTAGTTTGGAACTTTTTTCCCCCCAGTTCATTTTATTTTGGGATCTTTTTCATGTTTGAAAGACCATCTGAAACCAGCACTCTATTTTATCTTTCTTTGGTTGGTTTTATTTATTTAATTTGTGAGGTCAATTCTAATTTTTTTTGGTAATGTTACTTGCATGTAATTTCAAATGTAGAGAAAAGGTGCAAGAATAGTGTAAAAGACGGTCTATCCTTTATCCAGATTCACCAGTTCCTATTTTGTCTCATTTGCTCTATCATTCTGTTTATATATGTATAAATTACATGCATGACGTATACAAAGTATACTGTCTGTCTGAATCTTTTGCCATTTAATTTTTGATGTTAAAATATTTTAAACAGAAAAGTACCAAATATATAAAACAGACACGTTACCCACCATCCACAAGTAACAAATGGTAACATTTGGTCCTATATGCTTTAACTCTCTTTTTTGGGGGGAAAAAAACGCCAGTTCATTTGACAAGCACTAATGACACAGACAAAATTAAACATGAAAAATATTTTTCTCTCCCATCCCTTTTTTCCTCTCCCTCTAACCCCCCAAGGTAACTACAGTTCTCAAATCGGGGTGCTCCCCATCTGTCCACATTTTTTGTCCTTTATTACCAAGGAGTATGTCCATAAGGATACATGTATTTAATTTTTAGGCTAAGAACTTTTTGAACTTTTCCTTTTGGTTAAAACCTT